ATCATAGATATATATATATATATATTCAAAATCAATTTTACACATGAAAATTAAATTATCATATCCAAAATAAGAATTTAAAATTTAAGAAATTTGAATTGATTTATCTAAACCAAATATTTAAAGAATTATGAATATTGAAATCAAAGTAATTTAAATTTCAAGAATTTCAAATTCCTTGAATTTCTAAAATTTCTCATCTAAATACACTATTAGAATCTATTATGAAGATTGTTGTTTTGCCTTTTTAGCTATTACTAATTAATCTGGTATTAATCTACTTCATAATGTTTAGTTTTACAAATGTTTTTTTTGAAATGTTCAATTCTCAATATGAGAAGTGTGTCAGAAATTTCACATTAACTTGTGATAAGATCAAAGTAGTGTGCTAGTTTGAATAATTTTTATTTTCCAAGTCAATTTTATAGGATTGAACTAGTCTCAAATCTTTATGAAAAAGTATGAATATTTGATTATTTTATTGTCTAACATTGATAAAATTTGATAAAAGGAGGGTGCTAATGACCTATTCCACTTGATTTGGCTTGAAGAGACTTTTGATTTTAAGAGACTTTTGATGACCTTGTTTAAGAAATGTGACTTTTTACTTTGAAGGTAAGTTTGGATTAGAGTAATGTCATATGTATAATAAAAATTGTACAATATTACTTTTGTGTTTATTTATTACCATATTAAATGAATCGATATAGAAAAATAGACACAAGTGATATTGTACAAGTTGTTGTACATTTTTTATTGTGTGTAATATTACTTTTTGGATTATGTATTGTGTTGTCTCAATTCAATCTAATGGTACCTGTTCTATTAAAAAAATGTTTTTTTTAATATTTTGTATTAATAATTTAATTTTTTTAATATGATATTATATTTGTTTTGATATTATTTATTTCAAAATTTATATTTTATCAAGATTAACTCACTCAATCCCTTTCATGCAACCATCAAAAGAGAAAAAGGAACATCAAAGTTCAAACAACCACAAGGGGAAAAACATCATGCATTTTATTATCTTTTTTATAAAGGAAGACCCACCACTCGGTGGGCCTTAAAGAAAGGCTATAGTGATCTCATGAAGAGGGTGGGTTGAAATGAGGTTAGAATTTAGAAAGAAAATGAAGTGACTATTAATATCATTTATCTTAAAATGACAATTTTTTTTTTAGTTTTATTATACAAAATATGCATACTATTTATCTCTATAATATAGGCCTAATCATATTTACACTTTTGGGTGGCTTTGAGATAAAATACTTTTAATCACTTTTTAATAATAGTAATAATAATAATTATTGTTTACAACATTCAATGATTAAAATGATCGAGACTTCCATTTTTAAAAGCAAATTTGGAGATCTACTCTATAAAATGTGTCTTATTTATAGATGAAGTCTACGATATAAGCCTGATAATATTTTACACTTTTGGGAGGCTAGAGGACATATAGGATTTTTTAGGTGAGTCATTAAAGTTATAGCATTTAAAAAGTGTAATGTGTTTGTCTTTGTTCTAGGTTACGATTTTTATACTTGACTGCTATGGGTTTATGGACTCCAAGAATTTTCGGATTTGATAAGGTAGTTACTTATCAGTACATACTTTTGACTAATAAAGATAAGATTTTGTGTTAGATATTGGTTTCAGGTTAGATTTTTGTCAAAATCCCTTGGAAGGTCAAGTTAGTTGGTCTATTAGGGGTATGATTGCTGGAGTACTCGACCGGATCCTCTTGATTAGAACCTCTCAACCTGATCAACCTCTCAACAAAAAGTCGAAAGGATACACTTGTCTACCAGTCTTGAGCATGATAGGCGTAGATGCTAAGTTGCATCACTCG